TTGCCGGATAAAAAATATGAAAATATATTTGATCTGTATTTAAGTATTTGATACCTTTTAACGTTAATACTGGTGTGTGCCGCTATAAAACTATTAAAAATGTTGAAAGCAGCTTCACCAATGCACGAACAAAGACAATGCGGCAATCTGCGCCTATAACACCACAACGAGAGGGATAAAGACGAGCCCCAAATCAGCCCCTTTTAACTAGTCAGTGTGAAGACAATTCGACAGTTTTATCACGCCCACATCCGACCCCGACATTTTCTGTTTAATGTAACGGTTTCTCTGATCCCCGAAGGAACCCTGTGTGATCCCAGCCCCTCAAATGCGAAACTTGTCCCTTTTCAACAGTAGTTCCGTGTAACAGTTCGCGGAGGCTCCGGGGACCTGGTTACAGATCGTGTTACACCAACGCCGACCCCCTTTCGGGGCCCCCGGCTCTCCGTGTTAACAAAGTGGGGTATCAGTTTCAAGTCTACTCGATTCCTTCCTTGATAATCACAGAGCAAACGAGAATTTTTTTGGAAAAAGATTATAGCTGACGGTAATTACGCCCTCTCCCCACCTGACGAAACAATTTCTCACCATATGTCGGGCTACAAAAATGGCTGAAATTTGCGTTTACGGAGCTAGTGATGTTGCCAAGCCAGAGTCTTTAAACGGAAGTCTCGGGTTTTGTTGATTTTAGCTTAAACGGCTTAAACAGAACAAGGATCAAAACTCATATCGTATGCGCTCTTTCTGCAAAATATCTATAATATACGTCGCAACGCAGTCAGTTGCCGATGAAATAACTCTATGAATTGTTAAAGCATTTTTTAACATCCTCCAGGACGCAATCAGTGGGACTTCGTTTATCTATAGTCTGATTGCAGTGAAAACGTACCGATGAATTTCACCTTAAACACAAAAGTAAATCAAATTATGTGAAATTAAGATTGCGAATCCTCATAATTTTACCTTGCCAAATGAACATTTCAATCTCAGAATTTTATTCAACTTAGGATAAAAGTTGTTTAACAAACGATCATAGATTCAAATTGCTATTATTTGTATTACAAGGGGGTAAGCGCAGTAGATGAAACACCATTTCGCTTTAATCGATTTACTTTTTATTTAGAGTGAAATTCATCGGTACGTTTTCACTGCAAACAGACTATAACTTTGGTTTCATAGGCAATCGGATTTCAGAGTTTCCATCTGGGGAACCTGGAGCCCGTTTCAAAGAGATCGTAGCGCTAACCTGATCGTAACTCCCATACTTTAGCATAGACTTACGACAGTCGTAGCGCTACGATCGCTTTGTGAAACGGGACCCTGGAATTTAAACAGATGTTATTTTTGTTCAACTGGGTAGCACCAAATCCTCGACGTCTTTGGATGCGACTTCAACTACTTCTCGGATTTCGGATTAACGCCTTGAAACACACCTTGAAACACATTAACATTTTTTTTCTGTAAATTTTCCTGTTCCAGTTTTTTTGTAACACGGTTCAGATATTGTAAAATTGAGGTAGCTAATTGTTTAGCGAAGCCCAAGACGAACCTCACCTCCAGAAAACTTATGATATTTGTTTTCCGTCAGTTAGATCAATGCGGGCAAGTTGAGAGTTATTTTAGAAGAATTTATTGCCAAGTAAACCGTTATGTCGGTACATGTCAGCCTATTTAACCCTATCATTCGAATGGTTATTGGTATAGGCAAGTTTAAGCTCATGAAGTACCAATGAAAAACAGTTATAAATGATGTTATATACTTCCGTGTGTACGTGGATATGTTAATCCAATAACAATTCCAATTATTGTTCGTGGGTAATGGTCCACTTGGAAAACCCATGTACATAGATCACTTTAATGGTTGGAATTCGAGAGTTTGATCGACATAACCGATGCAAAAGCTATGAATGTAGAGGGTTCGAGAAGATCTTCTCATATGTTAGCTGTCGTTGCATTGTTTAAACATGTTTCGATGTTGGGAATTTAGAACACCAAGACATGGATTTCTATTACCAACGGGCCGCTGTTGTCTCGTTAGCGGGTTGTTTGACTCGGTTTCTTCTGCAAATATGAGACGCGTATAACAATTGATTTTCTTTACACGTTGTTAAGAATCGTTGAGATGTATTTTATTGTTTAAAGAACAACTTTATGAGGTATCTAACCGCCGATTTTGAAACAATGACACTTTTTGATCACTTTACAAAGCGCCATTTTTGAGACCGTTTGAATAACAAAGGGAGACAATTCTTTTGTATCCACGAAACGTCAAATGTTAGTCGTAGTTTCAGAAGGAATATAAGCTTTCATTGATTTATAATGACTTTGATAAGAAATGTATTGCTGAGCCTCACATTAGGTATTACAGCTTATAAACGTAAAAATGTAGTTTTGACTTATGTATATATATATTACGCTATCGCATTTCATATATCATCAACACAAAGAGCCCTCCTCCATCAAGGTTATTGGCTTGCAAATAGCCTTTAGGTCTAACGAGATTCAGGGAAATCAGACATTAAAAGTGCGTCAAAGAAATCTATAGTCTTTATTTCACTCTCTTCTAAATCACGTCCTGCTTTCTAGTCCTGCTTTTTGGATGTCCCAACAAGAGTACATGGTAAATCTAAGCTTGAAATATCGCCAGACTAAAAACGCCAATATTTATTTATGAGATTTCAGTCTATCCTTGAGAACAAGAGCGCCGGCAATTCCCTAATTACATAGATAGTGAATATACTGCCGGGTGAAGTCACTTCTTCGTCGCTGTTTAGAGTACAGCCCAAACTACTGCACAGTCTGTTCCTGGGAGATACAGCTGGACCGGCCCACGTCTGATCCGGGATAGGATCTTCCAGTAAAACCCGGATCCAGGGAATGAAATTCTAGAATCCCTCTCTTGTTTGGTTTCTTGGCCCAGAGACGTCGGGGAGACGACTGGCTTGAGTTTGGCCGCTTGTGGCACTTCTGGGTCTCCCCCAAAACCCACAGCTCTCTCTTGTATTGACAGTTACAACCCAAACGTGGGGCTGGGATCCATGCTAAGGCACGTAGCTTGAAAACTGGCTCTTGCGCTGGTTTCATGGGCACGTCTGCCGCACTACCCCGCGCACGTTTAGCACGGGAACACCGCACGCGTTCGAGACGGAGTATTACCTTAATTGGCTTCACCGCATTTGGTTGAGGCGCTAATTAAATTTATTTTGATGCAGGGATGTTGTGCCAGTCTCTCGGCACCATCTCACCCCAAAGCCTAATTAAATTAGTCCCCAAATCTCCAGTTTAATTCATTTAATGCCGAACGGCAGCCGATCGCTCTACTGTCGTCTGCTACCATGCCTGTCCGCCATTTTGCCGCTTGGGTTGCTTTCCAGCACCACCCAAGGAGCTTCGAGCAGAAGTTGACTCGCTTTATTTGATTTTGGCCTTCAGAAGTGATTTCTCGGCGGATGAAGGGTACTAAAATGTTTTGAGGTGCTTTTGTTTTGAAGGTTATGGTCAGCCATGCGTTTATTAGGACTGCACGAGAATAAAGGAAACAATATCTGTCGGTCTGGTCTCGAGTGCTTTTGACAAAGATTGAAGAGGATTTCCTTTTCTTGCAGCATCTGTGAATGTTTTGTTTCAGATCCCAACTTCTATATCTGACACACGCACGCACGCACGCACGCACGCACGCACACACACACACATGCAATACTAGTTGCTGATCGGAAATACGTTTAGATAAGTTGGTTATGTTCAGTGCTGCTTTGAATAGTATTTCAGTCAGGTAACATGCGGTTAATTCACTGGATCGGGAGAGTTTCTGGAACAACCTGTGAAGTCATTTAGGTTGGCACACAGCTTTCCTTTGAAATTGCACTTACAAAATAAATATGGTCAGCTTCATTGTTTTCATTCATATTACATGTAAGTTCAATCAGACGTCTCCGAACGAAAGGTTAACGGAACTATTGAGACTACACGCTATACAGTTGACTCGGGGTCTTGCTCGTGATGATGTACAAAACTGTGTTCATTTGACCTTGTTTAAGGCTACAGCTGTAGTATGGCAGCATGCTGAGTTTGGGCCAGACAATCTCGTGACTGACGCCCAAGTCAGTCAACACATCTGGGATATGATGACGTAACTAAACCAAGTCAGCAACTGTGACCACCAGATCCCGTTAGTCGCATCTTGCGACATGCAGGGTTTTCGCAAAATCTATTGTTATCCTGATTTCTACGGGTGTATACAGAATGTTATGTTCTGCCGTCATATAGATGGAAGCTAACAGGACCATATTGCTCTTCTTCTGTAACTAATAACAAATGAAGATCAATGAAGTACATTTCTGAGGCTCTTGTCTGGACCGGTGTGTCATAAAGTGAAGTCCCAAAGAGACCCACATTTGGCACGTGACATATCATATATTTGAACTGACCATGTGTGTTAATGCTTCATTACAAAGCATTGGCACCACACTAGAAAATACTCCCAGACACTATTAATGGTTATATTTATTGTGGTCCATTTTAAAACGATATCAATTTCATACACATTCATTGGCTCCCCATAAATGTCAGTTTCGAGACGATATTATAATGGCATAGCATGAAATGGTCGCCAGAGACGTACTGTAATTCGTTGTCCGTATACCTCAGCCGTTATGTACATTTCAAATATAGCAATGTACATTTCAATATAGCGACGTTCATTTCAAATATAGTGATGTTCATTTCAAATATAGTGATGTACATTTCAAATATAGTGATGTACATTTCAAATATAGTGATGTTCATTTCAGATGTAAAGGTTGTATGTTAACGTGTCATATTTCACCTTCTACAGCATTGTATTTTCATCTTTTTATTGTCAATTTCATACAGGACGTGTGTTTTTTGCTTAAACTGGCAACGTTTCATGTTGTAACTCGTCTATGAATGAAATATTTCGTATAATAGTGTATATTTCACAAATGGCGATGTCTATTTCAAGTGTCCCTTCTCTATTTCAGCTGCTATTCCCAAGTGTGCCGGGTGTGGAGAGCAGATACTGGACAGGTTTATACTCAAAGTGCTCGACCGATCCTGGCATTCAAAGTGTCTAAAATGTGCAGATTGCCAGGCACAACTATCCGATAAATGTTTTTCAAAAGGAGATAAAGTGTACTGCAAAGACGATTTTTTCAAGTAAGTATACAAACATTATATCCATACTCCCAGAGCAGCGAGTAATGATGGTCACTGACGAAGGCATGTTTTAAGTTATATATACAATCAGCAAACACCTCACAGAAGCGATAACAATGATTAGACTGAATACGTCTAAAATCTTGCACACATTTCACAGACAAGACACAATCGAGCAGATCAAGACTGTTCCCGTCTGTATCTTGAACATCACGTTCAGGGCATTAAAATGATTTCATAGAATTCCCAGTTCTCCCCTGAGTTTTAGCCAAACTCCCATCGACATCTGCACCGCATGAAACTGTTTTTAAAATACAATCTCCTCACGTACCCTCTCTCCTGCAATCCCCCTGCAACTGATATTGGCACGCTCTGCAAACATGGACCTACAACTGAGGATAGCCAAATTTGAATTTCACGGAATCGGACTCGGTTCTTGAATTGGAACCATCTGTGCAGGAAAATGTGCAGGAAACGTTCGATGGAAACTGTATACAGAAAGTGACAGGCTTACTTAAACTTTGAAACGGTGATCGGTTTTTATGCTCCAAAATGAAGAAGTATGAATCTTTCGTAAGGAATGTATACCAGAATGTGGTATGTTTGTAAATTAAATTTTATGTAAACAAACAAAATAATTTACGTCACATCAAACTACGTCAACGCTGCACGCTTACTGATGTTTATTTATTTATAGTTCATCTATTTATATTTCTTGCTGTAAGGACCCTGAAACGGATTAATTTGACAACTAATAATTCCCAAATTGTTATGCGTTGTCTTTAATAAATATGGTAAATATGTGAAACATACTACATATTCCGTAGTAGTGAAATTATATTTGTCTATGACTGTTATTAAGTGGCAGCACATTGTATCATTGAAATTGACAATGAATTGTACGAGTAATAAAGTAATTACTGTGTTTCAGGTAGCAAGCTTTTAACGTTATGAGCGAACTCGATTGTAAGGATAAACTTTAAAGGCTCTACGTTATTTATTTATGTTCTTCTGTTTACAATCCACCTGCAGTTGACAAGTATTTCCTGCAGTTCGCTGAACAATGGATGATAGCTATTAACTATATCACTGACAAAAACATCTCCAACGATTAAAAAAAGTAAATTGCTTTACAATCTAACGACAATGGCCGACTGAATTATTCAACGGACGGGGATACGTTCTTAGCAGTTGGTCGGGGCTTAAAAACTGCACGTTATAGTCGAGTGATTTTCTAGTTTGGCACTGTGTTAGTATAGTTATATTTGAAGAGGACAATGCTATGGGCTCAAAACACCTGCAGTATGATGGACACATGAAATGTATTTGTTAATTATTAATGTTTTTCTGTCCCTACACGCTAAAAAGCTGATTGTCTTTTTTCACAAGAGGCGCACTTCCTTAGACAATAATCACCGACATACTAAAGGTAAAAAATAACGTTTTGAATCATTAATGTTTTAAGTGCTTCGTCGTTGATTACAGTTTGTTGAAAATCTGAAGTAGGGTGCTAAGAATAAGAGAATTGATTTCAAAAGAAGCAAAGTGGAGGATCTGTTTACTTGTTAAAAATTGATATGTGTTGAGAATATGAGACTAAATCGTTGAAAAGTGTTTGATGGGGTTGAGTGTGGTTGGATGAGAACAAGGTCGGCCCACTTGGTGAGGGGTGGTCAAGTGGTGCTTAAAACATATGATCCACAGCCAGTGATTTCGAAATCATGATTATAATTACAGGAATATCATTATTGTTATTCTGTTTTTGAGCGATTTGTGTTATAAAGACACATGGATTCAGTTCAGTTCTAAGCAAGTCGAGGTCGTAGTGAGTGAGTGTGTTTAGTTTTACGCCGCACTCAGCAATATTGCAGCTATACGGCGGCGGTCTGTAAATAATTGGGCCAGACAATCCAGTGATAAACAGCATGGGCATCGATCTGCGTAATTGGGAACCGATGACATGTGTCAATTAAGTCAGCGATCCTGACCACCCGATCCCGTTAGTCGTCTCTTACGACAAGCATGGGTTACTGAAGGTTCATTCTAACCCGGGCCTTCATGGGTAGTCGAGGTCGTAAGTCGATGTCGTAGTATGAAAGTTACGATCTTCTTAGCGTGCGAACAAGAAGCTGTAAAACAATGAAGCAACTCTCACTTGCTAGTTCCTCAGTGAGTGAGTGAGCGAGTGAGTATAATTTTACGCCGCTTTTAGCAATATTCCAGCAATATCACGGCGGGGGACACCAGAAATGGGCTTCACACATTGTACCCTTGTGATGAATCGAACCGGGGTCGTGGGCGTGACGAGCGGACGCTTTAACCATTAGGCTACCCCACTGCTGCTGAGCGTAAATGGTAAAATAGCGGTGAAAATTATAAGAATAGATCACTGGTGGTCAGTGCTGACACCAGGTGCTCATGGAAGGGTTAAACATAAGTTTTTGTTGCCTAACGTTGAACACCAACGCCCCAACACACGATAGCCGTGCCTCCATCAGATTATCCGGTGACAGCCAGTTTCTTACCTGCCAGTCACGTGACAGAGAGTCTGGACCAGACGATCCAGTGACACAATAGCTCAAAACGATTTGTTAACTGATGAATTACGTTTCCAACTCACTAAGTAAGTTTATCTAACTGGCTCATATTGTTTTCTGACTAACACACTTGGGGCCTTGTTGCATATTTCAAACACGTGAACGTCTAAGACCATAATCGGATAAACGAGAAAAGGACGCATGTTTATTTCAGTCCACACCTTGTCAATTTCACCTCCATAATTGATAAAACACATGTACACTGCTGACTATTTAAGTATGTGGCTGTCGGGTGTGTATCAGCCTATCACGTACTCTGAAGGGATCTTGTCTCGCGAAACCCTGTCGGCCTGTTTCAGTTACCCTCAATTTACATGCGTTTTATTCATTGTCCCATATGCAATAACTTGAGACGATGACCATAGGTATAATCAGGGAGACTATATGTTGTAGATTATCCCTGGTATAATCAATAAAAGACAGAACTCTAAAGGACGGTGGTCATTTAGCATTTGCTGCAGTTCGTAGACGTAGGTTTAACTCTGTAATCATATCATCGTCTTACTATTTCAGGAATCAATTACGGAAACATTATTGCAGCGATAGAATTAGCGTTAATATGAGTCTGCTATTTATATCATACCCGGTGCAGAAAACACATTCCGGGACGTATTCGGAATAAATGGAACCAAAAAATATACACCCAAGTTTAAAGCAGCTGAAATGAAAGAAATAAAAGAATATTCGATGGTGATTGATTTATTTGGGTATCCTAATCGATGGTGATTGATTTATTTGGGTATCCTAATCGATGGTGATTGATTTATTTGGGTATCCTGATCGATAATACACGTACACCAGACACTAGTGAGTGAGTTTAGTTTTCCAAGCAATATCACGGCGGGGACACCAGAAATGGGCTTCACACATTGTACCCGTGTGGGGAATCGAACCCGGGGCTTCGGCGTGACGAGCCAACGCTTTAACCGCTAGGCTACCCAACCCCCTAACCAGAGAGTAACTCTGAGGAGTGATGTGAACATGATGATACTGTTTTACAGTACTTAGTACTATACGGAGTGAAGTGTGTATTTGTATATTGTATCCTGGCAGCATACTTGACTTGAACCGTGAAACGAAATATCATGAAACAGTCGCTTGACTTGATGAAAGAACAAAGTATCATAGACCCCAATTGCTTAGATCGATGCTCATGCTGTTGATCACTGGATGGTCTGATCCAGACTCGATTATTTACAGACCGCGCCATATAGCTGTAGTATTGCTAACGGCAGCGTTAAACAACAACAACAACAATAACAACAACCCCAAAACATAACAAAACAAGTATCTTAGGCATTGAATGCGTAACGGTTCTGTCTGGTACTGCGTTCTGGTACTCGTGTCCAGTTTAGAATCGATCTTTCAAATCGCCACAATAATTATGTCTCTTTTGCATGGTCAGTTTGTATGGAGAAAGGCACCACACCTCAGCTCCTATAGCCTCCACGACATGTGTATATAAATAGTCTATATCGATAACGCTGGTTATCAAACGCCAAAAAATCCAGTAATCCCGCTTTTGTGACGTCACGACTGTCTCCATCTCACCCTAAAGAGGCTTTCATATCTTAGTGGGGAATTATCTTCCGACAGTCAGGCCCGTCTAATGTCAACGTCACCGTCAGTAAGGTCAGCCTCACGTCAACCAGGTCGTGTCTGTGAAATTGACATCGTAATAAACAAACGTATTTCGATTCCCAGATATCAATTTCGAAAGAGAAACGAAATAGTCTTATTACAGCCTGTAGCTACTTGGAAAGGTTTTCTGACGAAAGAGGTACCAAATTATTCTTTTAACTATCTTTGGATTTATTTGTATTTTCAGGTATATGTCTGCATATGTACTCACCAAGTGTATCGTACTTCTGGGGACATTACAGTATGAGTGATCCTTCAATATATATATACAAATTTAGCAGATCAAATGTCAAATATTTGATGAGTTCGTCATATGTCTCAATAACTACAAGGGACAAACCAATGATGAAAATTCTAATATCTAAATATTAAAACTACAAAACACACAATGATCTTGATGTAATATTGAATTTAGTACGCTATGCAACATATAGAATTGTTTTTCGTCTGACAAAAATAAAATATATTTGTAAATATTAATAAACAAATAAGTTTATAGTTATAAATTAATATAGGAAACGGCATTGAAAACCCAAACTAACACAGCGTTACGTTGACAACAGCTCCCCTCAAAACATAAAAACACACACACCAAATTCTGCTCCTGCTTGTAACATAAACCTAATGGACGGTTCCTGTTCCAGTGTTTTTCATTCGGCTAAATCAATTTTGGCGTGTCGCATGACCCCTTTCAAATACAGACGAGAAGAATTCTCTCCGGGTTTCCATAATTTGTTATAAACTGATTTCCCCGAATGATGC